TACAAGCAATAGCGTCCAACCTAATAGCAATGGCCTCCAACCTACAACCAATGGCCTCCAACCTTTTCGCCAGGCCTCCGACCTACAAGCAATGGCCCCCAACCTACAAGCAATGGCCTCCAACCTACAAGCAATGGCCTCCAACCTACAAGCAAGGGCCTCCAACCTACAAGCAATGGCCTCCAACCTAATAGCAATGGCCTCCAAACTACAAGCAATGGCCTCCAACCTACAAGCAATGGCCTCCAACCTCCAACCTACAAGCAATGGCCCCCAACCTAATAGCAATGCCCTCCAACCTACAAGCAATGGCCTCCAACCTACAAGCCATGGCCTCCGAACCTAATAGCAATGGCCTCCAACCTACAAGCAATGGCCTCCAACCTCCAACCTACAAGCAATGGCCCCCAATCTAATAGCAATGGCCTCCAACCTACAAGTAATGGCCTCCAACCTAATAGCAATGGCCTCCAACCTACAAGCAATTGCCTCCGACCTACAAGCAATGGCCTCCAACCTACAAGCAATGGCCTCCAACCTAATAGCAATGGCCTCCAACCTACAAGCAATGGCCCCCAACCTAATAACAATGGCCTCCAACCTACAAGCACTGGCCTCCCACCTGATAGCAATGGCCTCCAACCTGCAAGCAATGGCATCCAACCTAACAGCAATGGCCTTCCCCCTACAAGCAATGGCTTTTCCTTGCATAAAGGCCCCTCCCTGGCACAGGTGGCGGGAGAGGGTGTGAAGACGGCTACAGTGAAAAGTCTGCAAAAGGAGAAGAGGACCAGGAAGTGCAGGGTGACGACCATCATGAAGAGACCAGAGAAGCCCTCAACAAACGGGCCTTTCGAGTACCCTCTTTGAGTTTCTTCTGAAGTTTATGCCAGGGGTCAACCGGCGGGTTCCATTGAAGTGGACAAGCCTCAGGCTGTGATGACAAGTCAACAGGAGGCCACCAGTTGTAGGCACAAGTTCGAAAATTCTTTTGAAATGCCAGTTGAACTACTTTCGCAACCTGATCCTGCTTCGGGAAAGCAGGTCGCGGTTTCAGGCCAAAGACACAACTGCCTGCACCCTGTCGGTACAGAGCGCAGATCCGAGCTCGCTTAGCATGGGCTGGCATGACATCGTGACCGCACAAGGAGGCAAATTGACTAAAAATGGACGCAAACTGGGTGGCAATCTCATTCCAAGAATAGTTAAAGGCATGTGCCTCCGTGTCAGACCTGGCCCAAGCGAAACAATGCCCATCAGGGGAAGTCCTCCTGTGGACGGGCAGATAGCAGTGGCTATACATCATGAAACTTAGAACCAATTCCATCCAAGAGACACCCATTTCAGCAGAATCTGGGTGATGAACTGCATTGGGCCATTGAAGCTGGCCCGCCCAATCAAGCAAACAAAGCATCATCGATGCTCCCCAGTAAGAGTGATCAAAGAAATTTTGAGCTCGAATGGCGGTGACGTCAAGGGTCCAAGGTGCATCAACTGTCAAATTAGAGCACAGGGCGGAAAAATGGACCGCCTGCCTCATCGGGTGAGGTTCCATGGGATTGAACGAAGCTGGAACATGTTGTTCATGAAGTTTGCGATAACTCTGCAGGGCCAAAGAAAGGCGGTAGAATTGCTCCAGTTCTTCCATTTCAAGCTTACGAGTCATGACCTGCTGTCGCCAGGCATCCGTGAGGGGTGGATGGCAGGAATTACAAACCTCAGATGCTGCCTGGTCAGCGACCATGTTACCCAGGGCATGATAACAGAGTAGGTCAGGCAACTCACTTGGCTGAGTATGGGCCTTAATCTTAACCAGCCTATTAGTGTGAGCATGAGCAAGATGCTGGATGCGAAGACACAGTTCTGGGTGCGGGTGTCTGTGCAAATGCACCCCATGCACTGATGGAGCAGCAACAAATGTGGCAATAGCACTGGAGGAGTCCACATGAATGACTGCATGGCAAAAGAGTTCACTGGCGCGAACAACAGCACGGAGTTCTGCATGGTGAATGGTCTGGGCCTGCGGGCAGAGCTCCTGAATAATCACATGCAATGTGTTAGGAGGAACACCTGTCTCTTTGAAACGTTGTGCCTGCCAACAGCGTTCTGCATCACTACGGCAAGAGTCCACCACTATACTAAAACCAGCATATCTTAACGAAGGCAGAGTGGGGTGCAGACAGCTACCGTCAGTGTACACATGCAGCGGAGAGAGATCAGAGACACACTCCTGCAGAGCCGCTATCTGAGAGGTATCAGGTAAACGTGGCTGAATGGCATATTGGAATGTGAAGCGAAATTCGTCCTCAGCTGATTCGAAAATAACTGGCAGTTCAGGCAACAAGGTGTCCTCCGAGGTGAGGGCCTGGATCAAATTCTGGAAAGGCTCACGAATGTGCTGTGTGGCAGCACAGGCAAAGAACCGATGAAATTTGGTATCTTCTTGGCCACACCAGGGACAGTCTGGTGTCACTTGATCATCCCAAATGGCCTGTTGGCTCCTCGTCTGATAGGCCCCAGCTAGTTCACGCACCAAGATACGACGTTCAGTAGCTGTGAAGCGTGAAAGAACCTGACGAGTAAGATGTTGATCAACATTGGGAAAATTGATCAAAGACCGTCGATGGGAATGCAACACCAAGAGCCGGTCTTGCCATGACCGTTCCGCGAACCAGACCAAACTCTTCCAGGGGCACGTCAAGAAACTTAGTTTGACAAAGGCCGAGACCTGAATGTATCCTTGGTCATCCATACACCAGCCTATCCTGACCAAGTGGAGGCAGGACCCTTAGAAGTGTTGGGCTTTGGCATATATTGCGAAACCAACTTAAAGAATCTGCACTGTTGTGAACTGTCTCGAGCCAGCAGAAATCTCCTGGCAGCTGCACAAGCCGAGAGAATCATGTGAAGCTCTGGATCTTTCACGTACTTGGAGGCACACAAAGTGACCAAAGCTGAAGCCATGCTTTCGGAAGGACCTACAAGAGCTTCAGCCACATGATAACGGAGGGACCGAGTATGCTGCTGACCAACTGGAAAAAGCTCACTCCCATGAAAGGCAACTGGATAAACACTGGCCGAAATGACCTGGGCTTTGACATCAATGTCAACATGAGAAGTCTTAAGGCGGGCTAATCTCTCCTTGGCCTTGCACAACCTATCATGAAGCTTACACATGCGAGCAGCACCTTGATATCGGAGTGGGCATCCAAGATCACTAGCTGCGTGGACTTTAGCCACTTCAGGGAGTTGGAGGCGATCGAAAGCTTTACGAACCGTGCTGGCAAGGTGGGAATGTGACGTCCACCACCAGGTCTTAGTCCAGTCAATTTGAAGGCTGCCCAAGCCCAGTTATCGGCATATGCAGAGATTAACGAGTTGGCTGAAGTGCAAGTCCGACAAGCAGCTGTCCAACATTGAGCAACCCCCAACATGACCAGGACAGAAAAGACATCCCCCTCAGGAAAACCGCAGCTACTATGAATGACATCCGAGCATTGACCGAGGACTTCCCAGCGTCTCGAGAGTCGTGCGAGGGAGCCCGACCACTGGGCCAGCACAGATTCAGGCACCCCCAGGTGACGAAGGATGGCAGTACCTCGAGACCTATTTATTGCGTTAAAGCATTTGACAAGGTCTAGGGCAATGCCCGCACAGGGCTCCCCTGCATCATGTGCCTCCTCGAAGAAACATTGAGTGGCGTACGCGGCCTCGAATGCTCCGCGGCCCGGGAGTAGACCGGTGATG